CCCCCCCCCGGCCGCAGTGTGATCTCCCGCACCGGAACATATGGCAAATCAATGCCAGCGTTCTGGTCTCTCTGGGCCCCTCCAAACTGGCGGAACACCAGGGCCCGGTCGCATCTAGCCGGTTCCCCATCTAGCCTTCACCCAGCCTTATCTGACTCCTGCAGCAACTACTTTATCTCGGCGGCCAGAGGTTCCTCTCCCAACAGCTGATTGTGCTGCCTGCGATGTCGGTAGCGGCTCCGCCGGGCAGACAGGTGACCGACACAGCCTCCTCTCCCCGCACAACTGCCCTACATTCTACTGGTACGAGTGGCAGAGGGGAGGGGGGGGCTGCTTGAGGGAGCTGCGGGCCCTCTGCTTCCTCTTTGGGCCCCCCTGAACAGGAGAAAATCCAGGTCGCAATTGCGACCCTGGTAGTTCCGCCAGTGCATGTATGTTGTTTTGCAAATGCTAGTTCCCTGGTTGCCATGCTAATGCTTTCACTTTAATGCTTTCTGAGTCACTGACCCAGAACAAGTATATAGGTGACAATTATGGACTTCTCCAAATTTCGTAGATGCTTGTTCTGGATCACTAACTTAGAAGTATTGAAGCAAGACACAATACGGTACGCAACTGGTATTTAAAAAAGTAGACAAGCAGTGGCACCCCACATCCTTGTACTGTTCAGTTTATTAGTATCCTCACTTGTAGTGCCATTTCCCGTCTAACAGTGCTGCAGGACAACCATATACAGGTGAAACTCAAATAATTAGAATATCGTGCAAAAGTAATTGCAGTAAGTGCTGCAAAAGGGGCCCAAACCAAGTACTGAGTACATATGCATGCTTGTACTTTTCAGAGGTCCGATATTGTTCTATGTACAATCCTTGTTTTATTGATTGCATGTAATAATCTACTTTTTTGAGGTTGTGGATTTGGGGTTCTTGGGGTTTTCATGAGCTGTAAGCCATAATCATCACAATTATGACAAATCACGGCTTGAATTATCTTGCTTTGCATGTAATGAGTCTATCTCATATATTAGTTGCACCTTTTTAAGTTGCATTAGTGAAATAAATGAACTTTTGCACGATATTCTAATTATTCGAGTTTCACTTGAATTCTGGTCCATCTGCTCAGATATAGTACTACACTGTTGTGCACTTCTGTACCAGGATGGGTGGGCATAGCCCAAAAAGACAAAGTAGTCAACACAAGTAAGTGTTATGCCATATTTACTAAAGGGTTTCAAATTTAAACCTTCAAATTTAAACCCTTTAGTTTTAAAAACCTTTTAAAGATAAACATGTCAGACTCGGAATGAAGATATCATACATCTCCCAGGTTCCATGACATGGAAGTGGACTGTGCTATAATGCATGTTTTATTGTAATAACAATCTTTATTTTACAGCAGATAGTTTTTTAGATTTGTTGTAAACAACATATTCCTTATAGTTTTATGAAATAAAATGTACATTTTGTGAGCAAAACCAATTTTAACTTTTTAACTATTCATAATGAACTTACTTTTCTGTGTATCTTCAGGGGTGATGGTTCAGAGAGTGCTCGTCTAACAGAGATCTACAGCAAACTGGAAGAAATTGAAGCAGACAAAGCACCAGCCAAGTACAGTCTAATATTTCCTTTTTTTGTTCCATCAGAATATTTTTAATAGAATGTAATCGTATTGTTCCATCAGAATATTTCTTATAGAGTTTAATTATATTGTTTTCTCTCAATTCAGAGCCTCTGTAATTCTTGCCGGTTTGGGATTCAAACATAGTATGCAACAGCAGATGACCAAGTGAGTGGATGTTTCCAACAAAATTCAGTCTGTTTATGATGCTTTTATTAATCTTACATTGAAGGGATATTCTAGTCAGAATTGCCATTTAAGACCAGAATGGTGTGAGATAAACCAGCAGCTATTATTATCAAACAATATTCCCAAAACTGGGTAGCATGTTCCCCAAAAACCAATCGGAAGGACAGTGTCGGCACCAATTCAGAGATGATTTGAGAATCTACACCTGAGTGATACACAAATAAGATAGATTGTTGTCAATAGTTAAGGTACTTGGATGTGTATTTGTAAGATTGAACTCCTGAGTTAAGTGTCACTTTAAGCAGTACAGTGATATTACACAGAAATATTACTGTCATTGCTATATTGTACAACATGAGGATTACATTTCGTTTTGGTCTAGAGGCTAGAATAGAGAAGATATACTCACCTGATCCTCGGTCCTGTGGCGGTGAGTGCTCACCTCTCTCCTCTTTTGCTCCGCCTGTGGTATATCTCTCGGTGACCTCGCATCTAATGCAGGTGAATGGACTGCATTAGCCGTGATGTCAGTGGGGCTTTTTATATTTGCGCCCTAGACCAAAACAAGCACTTAACCCTTGCAGTGCAGGGGTAGTCCCACTGCAAGGGTTAATTTTTTAGATTCCTGATGTTCCTCTTTAAATTTAACCATTATGTTACATATGTATTTAAAGGCATTTCCTTTAAATGTCCTCCTGTCTGCTCACCATACTGTAGAGGCTGCAGCTGGTTGTCGGAATCATGTGTGTGCGCCTCTACAGCGGGGGATTTTGCTGATGCTGATTAAGCAATACAGTACCAAGGTAACCAGGATGTGAATTAGGAACTTTTAGCTCAGAAGGTATTTCTCTGCATAGCCGGTGTAGCAAAACGAGATTTTGTAGGCGAGATGTGTGTTTCATATGTTTCTGCTTTCAGGGAGTTTTCCGGTGGGTGGCGCATGAGGTTGGCATTGGCTCGTGCTCTGTTTGCAAGGTAAGTGTTTGTTATACCTTTCATATAATGTAGGTATTTGATTAAAGGTGATGAAATAAAAAAAATATGTATTAGCATAGAGAATAATCTTTTTTTTTTTTTTTTTCTTTTATCAGACCAGATCTGCTATTGCTTGATGGTAAGTATTCTAGTGTGCGGCTTCCGATCATATATTTTGTATTTTTAAAGTGCTGATACTACAAAATACAGGATACATAAAAGCATTCATATTTGTTCTTCTGAGGTGTTTACACTATAATGCCAATGCCACAATCAAAAAACCATTTATGTCCAACCCAGGGCCCATTTTCTTAGAAACCAGTTAAACTATCAATATGTTTTTGGATGGTGAGAGGACGTTCCCTGAGGAAACTCTTAATAACACATGGAGAACCTATGCCATGCATCTAATACCTTTTTAGTAGGTAATGAGTCTAGGACCCAACCCTTCTCAGTCATACCTTTTTCATGGGTTAAACCTTATTTTTAATTTGCACAGAGCCTACAAACATGTTGGATGTACGAGCCATTTTGTGGTTGGAGAGCTACTTGCAGGTCTGTATGCTAACAGTTTCATGCATGGGTTTTAGACATAGAGCATTCTTTGCATTTTTTTTTTTTTAATGTAACGTCTTAAACTTTTTTGCAGACCTGGCCCTCAACCATCTTTGTAGTTTCCCACGACCGTAACTTCTTGAATGCAGTGGCCACAGACATTGTGTGCCTACATAGCCAGCGACTGGAGGGGTACCGGGGCAACTTTGAAAGCTTTCTAAAAATAAAGGAGGAGCGTTTGAAGAACCAGCAGAGAGAGTATGAGGCACAGCACCAGTATCGTGAACACATACAGGTAATGCTGGACACCTCACATTTATAGCTCTTTAAAAGGGAAGACCATTCAGTTTTTGGCAGGTACTATAGAGTTAATCTACCAGTATCTTGCATCTCACACATTTTGGAGGCAAGATGCCTGTGCTTTCATTCCCATGCCTGCATACATATTCTGGCAATTATGAGGTGGCTCCAGGCTGTTTTTCATTATTTTCATATATTTTAAAGAGTAGATGTAGAGCTAGGAACTATTGACTGAGAAATATTGCTGCTGGAGTTTACAAGACCTGTATGAAGCCAGTGGGGAACTCCAACTTGGGAGACTCAATTTCTAACCTAAATAACACTTTTAGCTTGACTTTTTTTCTTTTTTCTTTTGAGCAAGCATGTCCTAAAAGAAATATGGAGGCTACCATTGCTGACTAGTTTCTGGCATGAAGGAAGCATGAAGGAATTAGCTGTAACATTGATCTCAGTACTTGTTTGAGGTCAGTGACTCCGAAAGCTGCAGAATCTGTTAGATCAGCATGAGATCCAGCCAGATGGAGGTCAGCAATGACAGCCTACATATTTCTGTCATCATAGGAATCCTTGGAAAAGCACTTAAAAATAACATCAGACCAGAAACGACTGCTCTCTAATTGTTACAGGTCTTTATTGATCGATTTCGGTACAATGCCAATCGGGCTTCCCAGGTGCAGAGTAAGCTGAAACTGTTGGAGAAACTGTAAGTTTTCCAATATAACCTGATGGGAGCTGTTGCGAAAGGGCATCAAGACAACTTAATGTTTATATGTTTTTATTTTTTTTAGGCCAGAACTCAAACCTATAGACAAGGAAAGTGAGGCGATATTAAGGTAAGGGTGTTTTAAATTATAAGCATGTTTTAGTAAAAGGTTCAGAAATCAATAGTAATATTCCACTGTTTATTTCTTTCCAATCCCTGAAGGTTTCCTGATAGCTTTGAGAAATTTTCTCCTCCAATTCTACAGCTGGATGAAGTTGATTTCTGGTATTCTTCAGTTCATCCAATCTTTCAGAAACTTTCAGTATCTGCAGACCTGGATTCTAGGATCTGTGTGGTAGGTTCTAATATATTATATCTACTTTACATAAATGTAGAAACCTGTAGGTATAGCGAAAGATCTGTGTTCTATATTTTATGTTTTAGGTGGGAGAGAATGGAGCAGGAAAATCCACAATGTTAAAGCTGCTGATGGGTGAGCTGTCTCCTGTACAGGGGATTCGGCATGGACACAGGTGAGATGTCAAGAAAATTCATATCATTTCTTTTATCTGATAACACCTAAGGGGACAGCAATGTCCAACAGACAAATCCTAGTTTATAACTAAACATTCAAAGGAATACAAAGTTTATTGCATGTGCTGCAGTTCACTGTAAACAAAGGTGGAGTTTTTATACTGCTATCCACTCTCCAGTGTACATCACAAAGTTACTGCACACTGCAGAATGCATTTTAAAGTCCCTTCATAAAATACAGGCTGGGGTGTCTAATATAACCTGATGGGTTTGTCACGGAGTTCTGTGCTTAAAGCTGCAGAGGGAACCCAGTAAGTGGATAATGGGCCAGTTACATGACTCTGGCAGGTCACATAACTGGGTCCATCTCCTTTGTTTTTTCATACGGACCCTAAAACATGTTGTAAATGTAAATAATTTGGATGAATTTGCAGTACTACTGTCTCATGTTTCCAATAACTGTTTACTACCCTTAGGAATTTGAAGATTGGTTACTTCAGTCAGCATCATGTGGATCAGTTGGACCTTAACATTAGTGCAGTAGAGCTTCTAGCAAAACGTTTTCCAGGTAAAATACTGGTGACTTCATTTTGTCATCCTCTGTCATAAATTATGAACTGTTGAACTGAAAGAAGGTCCATTTTGTTTTTTGAAGTAATTTCATTTTTAGGAGTCATCCTGTCTGCAAAGAACTGATGTATGTCATGTATGGAAACGAATGTCACTGTGCACTTTAAAGCGTATTGCAAGGCACTTTATGTGGCATGTCAACACATGTTGATATATGGCTTCACTGACATTACACTGTTCACTGAAATGCGAACAGAATTAAAGTGCTTGTAATGGAAAAGGCATAATTGCTAAAGTGTGAATCCAGCCTTAGGGAAATGATCCAAGCACCATCTATCACGTTTTCTTTAGGAATTGCAATAACATTTTTTACCATCGTGTCTGTATGTAAATGTTTGCCATATGTAATCTCCTGTAGGTAAAACCGAAGAGGAGTACCGCCACCAGCTTGGCAGCTATGGGATCTCTGGTGAACTTGCAGTGCGGCCGGTGGCCACTCTGTCCGGGGGACAAAAAAGTCGTGTTGCGTTTGCTCAAATGACCATGCCATGGTAAATTGATGTTAACTGTGTTTCTAGAAATTCCAGTGTAACCTATATATTTTTTTTTCACATGTCCTATATATTTATTTCAGCCCAAATTTTTACATTCTGGATGAGCCGACGAATCACCTTGATATGGAGACTATAGAAGCCTTGGGTCGAGCACTGAACAAATTCCGGGTATTTTGTTCTGCACTTTCTACTGTCTAAATGTTTTCTGCATGAGATTTACAATTATATTTGGCAAATGCTCAATTCTGTGACTCGGTGCACTGTATATGCTTATGGAAAGGTCCCCTTAAAACAGAACTTTAGACTTCAGTGAAAGTTCCACCACATTTGACAGCTCACCTCATTATGTAGTGATCTAGTCCAGTCTGTCTTTCTGGACAGGTTTCAAAGGAGAATAATCAAGTTCCAGAACAAGTACTATAGACTGCGCATGTGCACCCAGTGAAGTGGTCTTAGCATAGTAGAACTTACTCTGATTGGGGTGACACAGAAGCTGCTCTCTATATGAATAGGCTTCCTTTACATATGATCCCTACGATTCACTATTAAAGTACAGGGACTTCAGTACTCCTTACTTTGGTTGAGGCACCACGATGGTAATAAATAAATAAATGAAGCCAACTTACTCAAATTAGCAGTATAAGTACTCATTAACTACTGGTTCTCATTTGATTATGTAAAGGGCTACAGTTCTGCTTTTAGGAACAGTTATTCATTTTGAATCAATGTCTCTTGTTTAACTGGCATCATTGGACAACTAATTGTATGCTTGATATATAACTTAAAGGAGAACTATAGGGTTAAGTCTTTTCCCCATAGTTCTCCTTAGGGTAACGGGAGGACACAAACTAGCGTCCTCCTGTCACCCTAGGCTCAGTATACCGCGAGCTGTAGCTCACGGTATACTGAGACGCCGCAGCTGAAGCGGATCCCGACAATTGTGCCGGGATCCGCCCAGCTGCATGAGTGACAGCTGGCTCTGCCTATCTAGAGGCAGAGCCAGCTGTACCCGCCCCTCCCCCGTCCGTTCCGCCAGTCAGATCGGAGGGGGGAATCCAGCCCCTCCCCTGTCATGGTAGAGAGCCGTGACAGGATCGAGAGGTGAGCGAACGCCAGTATCTGTTCGCCCACCTCCCGATCTACTGAGCCGACCTGTGACAGTCTCATTGTCACAGGTCGGCTAGAACTATGAGGTGAGTGGAAATCACTCACCTCATAGTTCTCCTTAAGAGGGCATTCCACAAAAAAACTTTTCGGATAGATGCTGGTTGGTTAAATCATCCACCAGCTTTTTATGACTCAAGAACCCCAGTAGCACAGTCTCTGCTGCCCCCTCCCCATGGACTAATGCCTTAACAAGTGTAGTTTTTGTTTGTTTTTAGTAAGGAGTAATTGTGTTATTCTTTCTCATTTTTGCAGGGAGGAGTAATCCTGGTATCCCACGATGAGTGCTTCATTCGTCTAGTTTGTCGAGAGCTATGGGTCTGTGAAAATGGAGGAGTGACTCGAATTGATGGCGGTTTTGAGGAGTACCGGAACATCCTGCAGGAACAATTCCAAAAAGAGGGCTATCTATAAATCGACTTGTACAGGAGTGTGCCACTGCTCTTGTTGGTGTCCCTCAGCTTTCCAGTGCATACTGTTACTTACCTCAGTATGTGATGGTCCTGACCTCAGCGAGGTCAGCAGTTTTACCATGAATATGCTCTGGGAGCCTGTAGCTAAAACTGCTATATGTAAGATCAAAGGGAAGGTATTTATTATGAAAACAGCAGAAGCCAAGCAGAGATAGATGTGTTTTTGTGAAACAACGCTGCACATTGAATTGAATTACTATATAATGAAAACATTTGTCCCACAAAGATATTTTTGCTCTTGAGTATTATTCCATTTTAGTGTAAGGTGTTAGTATTTGTGTATATTTTGGCAATAACTGCCACCCTTCTCATACTGACACAGGAGTCGGACTAATCCAAGTGTAGTAGACAAATCCTGGCGAGTTTTTACATTTGTACACTCTATTTATTTTTTTTTATTATTCTGTTTAAATGTCTGTTCTTATCTGTCTCAAGACATTTTCTCCTCATCAATTCAACTCTTGCAAAGAGACCCTAGCACAAAGTTATATGTTACAGGCAGGAGTGTAGGCAGTCCCCCTTCCCTAAAAAAAATATTAATTTTGCCCTGATGCAGTCTAAACTATTAACCAGCTCTCACACCTGTACATCCTCCATGGGCCAGAGCAATTTGTACATTTCTGCTATTCTGCTATGGGCCTGTTTATTCGGCAATAACTTTGTTATTACTTAAGATTACAAAGTAATACATATATTGGCTTTTTTTTTTAATTATTATTTCTTCTGATATTGTCTTGCAAAAATGATTTTATTTTTTCAGACAAAATTGTTACAAAACTAAAAAAAAAATTAGCTTTTGTTCTATTGTGATCAAAGTATTGTTATTGTAGATAAAAATAATTTTTATTCTATAACTTGTCATGTTTAAAATTTAAACTAAAATTTATGATTCTGGTAAAAAGCATTGCAAATTTACAAATGAAATAGAGGATTTTTCATTTTACATTTTGCACTTTTTAATTCAACACTAAAAGAAATGAACTAACACAATGAATAAAAATAAGTCTAAATATTAATGGATAACCATAGAAAAAAACTAAACAAAAATATCTTCAGGAAAATAAGTTAAAGGAGAACTATGAGGCGAGTGCTTTTCACTCGCCTCATAGTTCTAGCGGACCTGTGACAATGAGACTGTCACAGGTCGGCTCAGTAGGTCGGGAGATGAGCGAACACACACCGGCGTTCGCTCACCTCTCGATCCTGTCACAGCTCTCTGCCGTGACAGGGGAGGGGCTGGATTCCCCGCTCCGATCCGCCAGCGCTGACTGGAGGATCGGACGGGGGAGGGGGCTGGTACAGCTGGCTCTGCCTCTAGATAGGCAGAGCCTGCTGTCACTCACGCAGCTAAGTGGATACTGCGGCGTCTCAGTATACCGTGAGCTGTAGCTCGCGGTATACTGAGCTTAGGGTGACGGGAGGACGCTAGTTTGTGTCCTCCCATTACCCTAATGAGAACTATGGGGAAAAACACTGACCCCATAGTTCTCCTTTAAGTAGAGAAAGGTGGGAAGGAGCTAATTAGGACTGATAAGGGTTAATAAGCGGTTAAATAGGAGCACTTTTTTTTTAATATACTTGTCAGATTTCTTTAACTGACAGATGGAAGCTCATCCCTCTAATTTGCAGGTGAATTAAACAGAGCAGATACAAAAGTAACTAACAATGTAACTTTGTATCTCTACCTAGCTTCTGAACAGTGCAATGGATGCCACGCACACTCCAATTAAGGTCCACAAGTGGTCAATTACCTTTCTTTGTAACTAATATACTGCTGTGCCAACATATGTTTTTTTAAACCTTCATGTTTAGTTTAGTGATGTCTTGTCACAGCTGTACAATGTAAAAAATTCCTTTTTTAAGGTGGATTACAGTAAAAATGTAAACTGCATAACTGACCAGAAGAATGCGGTTTAAATAATAAGTAACCTGAAATATATATTGGTATAAAATAATGGTGCCTGCCATGTATGAATGTCGAGCTGTGTTATAAGATTCCCCCATTACAATTCAATCTGTCTTGACATCTGCCATAGTATGAGAAGTAGATTTTATAAGTAAACCATTCAGGTTGGTTAAAATGAATATAGATCTATACATATTATAATGGAATGGAATGATACTTTAAAGATGCATAAAGTAAAATCAATTTTCTTCTGGAATGTTGTCCCGCAACTAGTTCTTTCTTTTTTGTTTCCACTTACCACAGGTCCAATTTATGAATTGTAAGTTTCCATAATTTATTTAATATGTAGTTTAAAATATGATGCTACTTGTTAACTAATACTGCCAACATATTGTTCTTTTTATATAGTGCAGAGCTTTGATTAGTGATTTATGTACAATAACATTATGACGTCTTGGTTCTGTGCAGGAATCTGCGTTTTTCTTATGTCGCCATGTACATCAGAAATTGACATTTTTACTATTGTATCAAATAGGTAGTGGAAACATATGTCTGTGATAACAATGCTTGCTATACCTGGTAAAGTGCTTTTACAGATGATGGTCTCTAGCTAAAAGCTAAGGACTAAGCTTCTCTGACCATTACCAGTTAGTGGCCGAGTGTTCTTTCTCTTAGGTGTTTAGTAAGCCTACCAGTGTTCTTCAGCTTCCACACTGACCAGATTACTGAGATTATCATCTACCTAATGAGATTATCATCCTCATTTGCTGAATGACTTGGGTCTCCCCCAAAAGCAGCAGGGCTGTTGTTTGCCTTTGTTGAATAACAATGTGCAGCTAACATCATGATCAGAATTAATAGCTATCTCTTGCTTCATAAGTTATTAAAGGTATCAGAAGATGTGTAAATAAAGAGCAAAATCTCCACAATTTTGTTGTTGGGTTGTCATCATTGCATGTTGTAGAACATTAGTCATTTCTTTTCACCATAAGGAGACCTAGTCGTCTCATCATCTAGAAGACATGGACGCATATGTGCCCTCATCTGCAATAAATGATGAATCCATACAAATATATGAAGTATTGGCAGGTAGAGGGAGGCACAGCCTGGCAGAATTGTAAGTGCCCAAAGTAAGCAAGCAAATAACAGTCGCAGAAATTTCTGTTTACACACTACACCAAACTTTCTCCACTGATCCCTGCTTAGTGGACTTTGTATTTTAACATGTCTGAATGTTAAATGTAGGGCTGCAACAACTAATCGACTAAATCGATTATTGAAAAAGTTGTCAAGTATTCAACCATCGATTAATCAGCTTCCGATTAGTTGGCCCTGTTCATGGCTCCACACGCTGTGCGCCGCACTTCCTCCCCCCCCTCACGCTTGCCACAGCCAAACCCGCCCTTGACGTCTTGGTTCTGTGCAGGAATCTGCGTTTTTCTTATGTCGCCATGTACATCAGAAATTGACATTTTTACTATTGTATCAAATAGGTAGTGGAAACATATGTCTGTGATAACAATGCTTGCTATACCTGGTAAAGTGCTTTTACAGATGATGGTCTCTAGCTAAAAGCTAAGGACTAAGCTTCTCTGACCATTACCAGTTAGTGGCCGAGTGTTCTTTCTCTTAGGTGTTTAGTAAGCCTACCAGTGTTCTTCAGCTTCCACACTGACCAGATTACTGAGATTATCATCTACCTAATGAGATTATCATCCTCATTTGCTGAATGACTTGGGTCTCCCCCAAAAGCAGCAGGGCTGTTGTTTGCCTTTGTTGAATAACAATGTGCAGCTAACATCATGATCAGAATTAATAGCTATCTCTTGCTTCATAAGTTATTAAAGGTATCAGAAGATGTGTAAATAAAGAGCAAAATCTCCACAATTTTGTTGTTGGGTTGTCATCATTGCATGTTGTAGAACATTAGTCATTTCTTTTCACCATAAGGAGACCTAGTCGTCTCATCATCTAGAAGACATGGACGCATATGTGCCCTCATCTGCAATAAATGATGAATCCATACAAATATATGAAGTATTGGCAGGTAGAGGGAGGCACAGCCTGGCAGAATTGTAAGTGCCCAAAGTAAGCAAGCAAATAACAGTCGCAGAAATTTCTGTTTACACACTACACCAAACTTTCTCCACTGATCCCTGCTTAGTGGACTTTGTATTTTAACATGTCTGAATGTTAAATGTAGGGCTGCAACAACTAATCGACTAAATCGATTATTGAAAAAGGTTGAATACTTGACAACATCGATTAATCAGCTTCCGATTAGTTGGCCCTGTTCATGGCTCCACACGCTGTGCGCCGCACTTCCTCCCCCACCTCACGCTTGCCACAGCCAAACCCGCCCGCATCCACACACCGCACCTCCTCCCCCGCCTCACGCTCACCGCCCACCCACGATCGGCACAGGGACGCGGGGAGAAGAAGTAAGGAGGAGCAGGTGTGGGGGGATGACAGCCGCCGATAGACAGGCCCGATCTCAGAAGCAAGTTGCTGGAAGACTGCTCAGGTAAGCCTGCACTTTCCCACACATGGTACTCTATAATGTATTGCTGGGATAGGGGGATTTGTAGTCCTCTATAGCTGATGGTACATTGTTCTGTATAATATACAGCATAATGTACCATTAGCTATAGAGGAATATAAACCCCAACAATACATTATACACTGTATGTATAATGTATAGCTGGGATTTGTTGTATTCCTATATAGCTGGTGGTATTCTGCATTGTGCTGTATAGAGGACTACAAATCCCAGCAATAATACATTATACAGCGCAATGTGGAATATCACCAGCTATAGAGGAGAACAACAAATCCCAGCAATACATTATAGCTGGTGGTATTCTGCATTGCACCACTGTATAGAGGACTACAAAACCCAGCAATAGTACATTATACAGCGCAATGCAGAATACCGCCAGCTATAATGCAGAATACCGCCAGCTATAATGTATTATTGCTGGGATTTGTAGTCCTCTATAGTCGGTGCCATTCTGCATTCATTGCTGTATAATTTTACACTTTCCATTTCACTATATTGCACACCACACTTTTTTTCTTTTTCCCTTCCACCGCTCCAAGCTTGCTCTTGTGATGGACTGCAATCTCAATACAAACTAGTAGTCCCATCACTGGAGCCATTTTTTAAAATGTATTTTGTTTTTTATCCAATTAATCGAACTTAATAATCGGCTAACTAATCGATTTTGAAAATAATTGTTAGCTGCAGCTCTAGTTTGAAGGATTTAAAAAAAAAAAAAACATTACCCGCAGCACCCCATGCACTGCCTAATTTAGAAAATAAAAA